AGTTTATCAATGTGACGCGGCACATTTTTCAAACAATCAATGGAGGCTGAAGCATTGTTATGCGATGAAGTAGGGCCTCCAATATGTAGCAAGAAGGAGCACCTGTCTCCGTCATTAACTCGCTTCCAATACTTGAATCCTTTTGTAGTAAATGTTGGATTTTGAGCTTGCTTATTTTCGAACAAGAAACACGGGAAGCAAAATGCAGCATCCCTGGAAGGGGAGTACTCCAACCAAGTAAACTTCTTGAATCAATTTCTTTGAAATTTCCGATTTTGAGCTCCGAATGGCGTCGATGGATATTCATTCAGGATAGGTTGATATGGTCCCATCTTAATATAAGCTCGTCTGATTTCATCTCTTTGATCAACGGGATATTTCCATATTGGATTACGTAATGCCGGATCACGTTCAAGAGAACTCATATCAATAGAGGCGGCAACATAAATATTAACATCATTAACAGGACAATCTCGGCTTGTCGACGTCTTCTCTTTTGGCTTAAAGAAAGAATTGATAGTCTTTCTTTTCTTCATTTCGTGACCCTCCATTATGGTTGAAGAAACCTATCAAGTTAACAAAAAAATAATAAATTAATCAAGCATTGTAATGATATAAGCAAAGTGAAAATAACAATAAAAAAGGTAATTCAAATGGCAACCAAGATTCTCAATTACTTTAAGTAGCAACTTTAAGCACCAAAACTAATTAACAACATAAATACAATATCAAGTAAATAGCCGTGAAATAAAAACACCCATAAATCCTAATCAAATAAATAGAGGATATAGAGCCCATATTTTTTTTTTTTTTGATGTGATAATAAGAGGACAGACACAAAACCAAATTTAAACAAAAAATGAGAACATTACAAAAATAAAAAATATTAGTGATGAAACTGTTTTTCCTAACCTTTTTTTATGTAGCTTTTACAAATTAAACTAACATGGAGTCAAGGACAAAGAACCCTAACTAAATTACATTGTAACAAGATTCTGAGTAGTTCGAAAAAAAAAAGAAAGTTTAGAAAAAAAAAAAAGAATCATGCCCTTTCTCATCAATTAGTTCAGCTGAAAAATGAGAGGGGTATAATAGGGGAAGTAGATTCACGAAAGAAAGCCCTTACCAACGAGGTCAGGGGTTGTGGCAGACCGGGTCCGGCGGTGGCGGATTGCGGCGTCTCTGCGAGGAATAGTGAATCTGGGGCCGTGGCGGTGGGATTGGTGGCGAGGAGGAGTGAAGTCGACTCCGTGGCGGTGAGATTGGTGCTTAACAGAGGCCAGCGAAAAGGAGCAGAGCTGGGAACGGAGGAGTCGCTTAAGCCTGAAGTTATAATTCTAATTGAATTGAATTGAGTATGTTGTGGAAGCATATTTTGCTGGACAAATTGGATCGGCCCTTTATGAAATAACTAGTGTGTGCCCCGTGCGATGCACAGAAACAATATTAAATGAACAATATTATAAATAGACCTCGAGTTTGAGTCACTCAATTGGCGGAAGTAGAAACTACTATTGATCCTATTTAAAAAGAGAAAAAAAAAATAATTATAAATTAAAGAGGAGAATAAACATTACTTAATAATTATAAATTGAAGATTCGGGGTCAAACAATATAAAATTATTTTGTATAAGAGAATATAAAATTTGCATTATTTTGTATAAGAGAATATAAAATTTGGATGTTTAATATTAAAATACCTAAAATATTATATTAGTATATGAAAAATTATTCAAAATTTTTTATATTAATTTTGAAAGATGTGAAGTCACCTACAACCTTTCTAAACAATTTTAGAAAGAAAACATATCTCAAAATATTTGAATTTAATATTGTGCAAAAAAAGAATTTTCTAGACTATTTTGTAAAGAAAAGATGTCTACATATATTTAAATTTAATATCAATTAAGTATACGTGTGTGTGTATATATATGTATATATAGACGAATATGTAAAAAAAATATCTAACCAATTTGTTTAAAGTACCTAAAATATTATAAGTCTAATTTAATAAAGACATTCCTATGATACCGAATTTATGGCGTTATTTTCATCTAACAAAATTTGATTATACATAATTTTAAAATTATTATTATACTTTTTATGTTGTTATAAAGGATGTATTGTTAGTTTATAATATTTGCAAAAATATTAGTAAGGGAATTTTTTTTTAAATCTGTATAGATAAGGGATGAGATTTTTTAAATTTTTTTTAAATCTGTAGATAAGGGATGAGATTTCTTAAATTGCGAGATAAGGGATGAGATTTTTTAAATTGCGAGACGTGTACTGGAATTTGTAACAGATGAGAGATAAACTCGTGTAGGTTTATGTTAGGGATAAACTTTATTAGAATTGGAAACGATTTTAAAGGCATAAAAGATACCAAAAAAAGAGAATAACAAATTTCTACCCTAAAAATCAGCCGATTTGTTTCCTTATTCAAAATTGTTGGACACTTACTATTTTTTAGGACACTTTTAATGAAATTGGCGGGTGAATTTATCTAGATAATTGGTAGGTAATGTAGATAAAATTGGCGGAAAACTTCTAAAATGGTTATTCTTTTAATATAAATATAGATGATTTAATTATGAGTTGGTTTTAAAATTATTTGGGCCTTTGTTGTTGTTGGGCTGATGAGATAAGGGCTAAGGATTAAATGATATGGGGCTACATAACATAACTACTCTAATATAATTTTTATTTTTATTTTTTTAATTTTACATGGGGCTGGAGTCCACCCCAGCCTATGGGTGGCTCCGCTCCTGCCCACTACAGCCACCCCCGCCATCAGCTTGAACGCGTAACAGTTTTGGTGCTGAGCATCATCATCAACGCCGTTCGAAATGCTGTCGTTGCTGTCAAAGTCCTCCAGCCGCTATCTCTCCATTCATCGGATGGACGAGACAAATTCGAGTTGAGAGGAATGAAAAATTTGGGTTTAGGCAAGGGACTTCAAATTAGAAATTAGATAAGTCACGAGGAGTTGAATGCAAATTTAGAAAAATTAATAAATTGCAATTTAGGACTTGAGTACATTTATAATTTTTTAATAGTTTGATAAATGCACAATAGTATTAAGTGAAACGAACATTATAGCATGTGAAATGCACAATTAAAAAAATTATCATATTTTTGACGAAATTAGATAATTATCACAAGAAGCACAATTAAAATTTCACAAAATTTACGAAAATTAGATAAAATACACAAGTATTAAAATGAGTGCACATTACTGATTGAGCACAACAATGTTAAAATTAGTGCACATCAGTGACCATTAGAATGCACAATAGCGTAACAGTGCACTGCAGTGCAACGACTTAAATACCCTGCGTGAAAAACTAAATGTCCACTTATTTACATAAATGCCACCGCGTGTTTAACTAAAGCTAGCCCCTTTGACCGTGTTTGGAGCGTTGATATATCACATCCAATGGATA